ACTGAGACAGTTTACTGAGCACCCACTCTGTGCCAGGCCCTGTACTAGGTCCCGGGATTCAGAGTTGGACAAGGCCCAGTCCCTGTCTTACAGAATCTCCTGTGTAGTAGGGGAAGCAGACAAGTAATCAAAGGTCACGGTCGAGTCTGAAAAGTCCTATGGCTGAGACATGAGAATACAGAACTGGCCTGGAGGAAAGTGTGACATGCCTGGCAGAGCAGGAGGGGTTCCCGGAGAGGAACCTTAAAGAATGACGAGGGTTTGCCAGGTAGACAAGGGGAAAAGCATTCTCAAAAAGAGGCCAGTCTATGCAAAGACACAGGTGGGACATCACATACCTCATTCAGAAACCTGCTGGTGATTTGGTGTGAGCCCAAGCCAAGGGGGGCTGGGTGTGAATGGAGGTCAGGAGGCAGGCAGGGGCCAGGCCACGAAGGGCCGGCTGGGCCACGGAGCATGGGTGCGGTGAGAACCCGGCCAGAGCAGTGAAACTAGGGAACAGCATGATTAAACTTGCTTCTAAGAAAAATCCATCTAAATACATAAGAACTGTCCAACTAGTTCTATCCGGGATGGGCGAGTCTGTTTGGGAGAATATAGTCAAAGGAAATAACCCAAAAAGAAAACAAAGGCCATTTGTCTGAGGATGTTCCCAGCAGTACGATTTATCATAATAATAAAATGACCCAAGTCCAAGTGACCGGACAAATGAGGCATGACCCAAACCCTCAGGGTGCTCCCACGGGAAATGGAGATGAATAAGCATATTGAGAGGACAGAGCGCCACAGCAGCTGGGGCCTGGGTGATGGGGCAGCTCCGTTGGAGAGATCGAGGGAAGGACCCTGGACAAGGTGCCATTTAAGCTGATTGGTTAGGATTAGACCTTAAAGAGAAAGGGAATGTGAGAAAGTGCGCTCGAGACAGGGAGACCAGGTCATATCTGTTTCAAGTCAAGCGCACTGCAAAATCCCAGCTATACATGGGGGGCTGGGAGGGGTTCAGCGTGCCAGGGACTTCCAGCCTTCACTCCGCTGTAAAACACACAAGTGGGACCTGAGGCTACCGCAGGCATCTCCAACTCCGGACAAAGCCAAACAATTCAGCCAGTAATTAAAACACTACAATCATTTATATTGATGACCGTTTCTAATGGTATGTGAGCAACAGTAGCTCATTACAGGCCAGGGTACAGGCAAGGCAGGGGGCCAGTGATACAAAATCTAAAATGGCTGTATTTTAAAAAATGGAAAATCACAAGTGTTGGCAAGAAATTGGAAAAATCAGACCCCTTGTATACCGCCGGTGCGACTGTACAATGGTGCAGCCACTGTGGAAACTGTTTGGGAGTTCCTCAAAAACTTAAGTATGGACTTAACTTATGACCCAGAAATTCCCCTTCTAACTACATACGCAAGATCATTGAAAACAAGTACTCAAACAAATCCTTGCACACAGATATTCATAATACCGCTATTCATAATAGTCAAAAGGTGAAAACAACCCAAATATCCCCAAGAGTGGAAAAATGAACATCCTTGTGGTTCATCCATACAATGGAATACTACTCAGCCATAAAAAAGAATGGAGTACTAACACATGCTACAACACGATGAGCCTCAAACATTATGCTAAGGAAAAGAAGCCAGACACAAAAAGTCAGGTATTGTATAATTCCGTGTATGTGAAATGTCCGGAATGGGCAGATCCATAGAGATGGGAAGCAGTTCAGTGGCTGCCCAGGATCGGTGAGGTGCGGACGGGGGGATGGGGAGTGACCGCTTAATGGAGTTAAGGTTTTATTTTAAAGTGATGAAAATGTTTTCAAAGTAGATAAAAACAACAGCTATAAAACATTGTAAATGTACTACATACCATTGAATTGTACACAGGAAGAACGCTAGTTTTATGGTATGTGAGTTTTGCCTCAAAAAAAGTTAGTCGGGATATCCGGATGTCCAATAAACATATGAAAAGGTAATCAATTTAATAATTAAGAAAATATAAATTAAGACTACAGTAAGATTCTAACTGGTATGCATTAGAAAGGCTGAAATTAAGTCCAGTGATGAGACCAAGTGCCGGCAAGGATGCTAAAAATTGAGGACTCTCACACCAGGTTGCTGTGTCCCTTTGAACAATGACAGTGGAAGGTGTGCCCTTTGCTCGCTCACTGTCTGCTCAGTGGGACGATTTCATACCCTGTTATCCCACATCCACTCTTAGGCAGAGAACCAACAGAAATGCGTGGCCATGTGCACCCAGAGATATGTGCAAGAATGTCCACAGACACGCTACTGTATTAGCCCGAAATGGGAAAAAAATATTGTTGGAGAAAAGTGGATAAATCATGCACACGATATTAATTCAGTGAAATATTATACGGTGAAAAAATGGTTAACTACAGCCACATGCAACCGCATAAATGAATCTCAGAAGCTTAATAGTCAGTAAAAAAGCCACCCACCAAAGAAGACATCCTACATGTGTAAAGTTCAAACTCAAGTAAAATGGAAGTTTAGAATTTGGGGATACATGCTCATATACTAAAGTTATTTTTTAACAAGTAAGGAAGCGATCACTATGAAAGTCAAGGTGATGGTTGCTGCTGAGGGGAGGGAGGGGCTCACCCAGCCAGAAGGCAGAAGCGGGTGCTGGCGGCTACGCCATCTCGTAGCCTAGGTTATGTGGATGCTTGTACTGGGAGAAACCATCGGACTGTACTTTTTGTGCGTACTTTTCTGAATGGATGTCATAGTTCACAATCAATACTTTATAGAAAAGTAAATAATTTGCACATATCAGTATTTTATTATCTGAAACAAATTACTTGGGATACTACCGTCTCTGTCCCCACCACAACCTCATCTTCTAAAATAGCGCATATCCCAATGACACTGTAACTTGACTACACAGCCGTGACCCCTTAGGGACATGAGGATCAGTGTAGGGGGCAAGGGTCCCATTAACAAAGGTCTCTTTAAACAAGGTGGGCCAGGAGACCCTGAGGGGCTGAGAAGCCTTGGAACTTTGGGACTCACTTTCTTCATCTGAAGGACAGAGACAATGCCAGTCCCTGTCCCCACCTCCTGGAGTAATTGTGAGGACTGGATGAATGACATATGAACGTATTCCTGCGTCTGCCTGACTATATGAAATGGTTCATAAGTACCTAATTAAACTGCACACAAAATTTGGTTGGCAGGAGGACATGTCACGTGTCTAGGAAGACCGTCTTCAGAATCCCCAAGGGACGCCGACTACCCATCCATTGCAAAAGGCCCTCCCCAGGTCCTTTGACCTCCTGAGGGTTCCCCAGCACACTCTTTTTACATTATGGATGGGAACAGGATTTCCTCTGTCTGAGAAACCACGGCCCTGACCTGGCTTTGAGGGATCCAGCCTATAAGTGCAGGAGAAGGAAAGAAACAACAAAGTCTTCCTCCCCAGAACCGTCTTCCTTTTGGGAGTGAGGGTGGCAGCAAAGTTCAGCAAAGATCACAGAACCTGAAGCTGCCCTCTGCTGCTGAGTTGGCAGTAACCTATATCACATGCAAAATTGCAACGTTCCAACACGGGCCATGGTGCTGAGAAGCCAAAACTGTGCTCCAGCTGCCCTTTGATCTGCAAGAAATGCCAGGCTGGACGCACTCTGGCAGAAAACGCTGTCGTTGTGTTTGCGTCTCGCTCCCACGAACGCAAAGTTCACTGTCCTAGGCTTCCTCCAGCACACAAAGCGTTAACCAAGACCACCCACTCAATCCCCAGTTTCCTTCAGGGGGACCGAAGCTGTTCCTCCCTCTCCCCACACCTCTACTGAGGCTGTATACTAACCTCCTAAATCCAAAAAGGGGCAGATTACTGTTTGGGGAGCATCGTTCTTCCACAAAACTGCTTGGAGAAAGGGATGAGCGAGGAAGGGCTGGAGCTTGCAGATCTGGGCTCAAGTCCTGCCTTTGGACTGGCCACTTTCCAAGCCTCTCTCATCCCTCGAGTCCTCGTCTGTAAAAGTGCCTGCACTGCTTTCTAACAGCTATTGCAAGGAGCGAGCTATAATTTCTTTTTTTTTTCTTTCTTTTTTTTTTTTTTTGCGAGCTATAATTTCTATCACGTATTTTCTGCCTACTATGTGCCAGCATGTGAAATAAGCATATTATTTCTAACATGTCTCTTGATCTTCGCAGCACAGCATCCCAAGGAGGTAAGGTGGTTCAATTATTCCCCTTTTTTGAATGAGGAAACTGAGGCCCAGAGAGGTGAAATTCATCGCCCAAGGTCACCGAACCTGGGCACAATTCAAACTCACGCAGCCTGACACAACTCAACCAAAAATCTGTTTGAACTAAGACCTCACCATTCACGCAACAGCCTCCAGGTCCTGGTGCGGGAAATGAGCCTCAGGGAACAGAAGGGACCAGATCTCCTGGTTCCCAGCCCATAGCCCTTCCCAGCACTCTGGGCGCCACTGCCCCATGGACGTGACTCCGCAGGTAACTCAAAACTAAGTAAGGAATCAGAGCAAGTCAGTCCCGTTATTTCTTTCGAGACAAAGGCTCCAGGTGTCTCTGCCGGCGGTCCTGCTCCGCATCTGCGTGCAGGGAGGACACCAGATCTGTCCTTACAATGAGCTAGGCAGCACGCACGACCTGGGCGCGGGCGCTTGGTGAGCCGCAGCCAACTGTCCACGCGGAATCTCTGGTGCTGTCGCCGTGCTTCCAAACTCCCTCTCTGCCCAAGATTGGAGGGGCCGCGCCCAGCTTAAATTACCTTGGGTGCCCTGATGGCTCTCCACTCGCCCTGGCTGCCCAGGACTCCCATCCACCCCCTGGAGCTCCTTGCAGTGCCCGGGGAAGCCGCGGCAGAAGCGCCAATGCGCGCGGAGCGGCGAGGACTCCCTTTTATGTCCAGGAATGAGGCGCGCACCGCACACGCGCCCGCCGCCAAAGCCAACTTCCCCAGGGTGCGGAGGCAGCCGGTGCCAGCCTCGGGGAGAGTCGCTTACCTGTCACGGCGCGGGTCCGGCCGACAGCGGAGAGAAGCGCGCAGACCCGAAGCAGCCTCAGCACGCTCCAGCACTGCTCGATTCTCCTGTAAGAAGTGGCCAAGTGAGAGAAGGTGAGGTGGACGGGAGGGGCTGAGGGGTCCGGGGCACCAGGACGCAGGTCCTACCTTGGCGCCATCTCCCGGGTCTGCCGAGCCCCGAAGGCGCTGAGCCGCCCAGCTCCCCGGAGGCGTAGGGGCGCTGCGCGCTGGCCGCCGCTCGCCCTTCCTGCAGGAAACAAAGGCGGTGCTGGGCAGCGGCCACGGCGGGCAGACTCCCGGCTCCCAGCCCGCGCCCTGAGTCACCCGCGCTCTGAAACCCGACTCCTCCGCGCCCTGCGCTCCCCCTCGCGCCGCGCCCCACCTCGGGCAGCGGTGGCGCACTCCCACCCCGGGATCTCCACACCCCCTTTCCCCCCTCAACTGACTCTCTCTCTGCGGCCGCCAATTCCACCCCGAGCGGACGCGGATCTCTCCAGCCCTCACTTCTGTCCGGGTTGCTCCGCGGACAAAGCACTCTCCGTTCACCGGCCAGCAGAATCTTCTCGACGGCCTAGGGAGGCTGGAACCACTGTGATTTTGGCCTAGGAAACCAGCTCAGAGAAGTAGTGCTAATGTCCCAGGATCACACAGCAGGACTGAGCTGTTGGCTGCTGTGTCCTGCCCTGTGTGCATGACCCAGGAACCTACTTGAATGCCTGGGAGTGATCCACTTTGGGCGGTTTAAGTGATACACATATAACTAAATGCAGCAAACTAATCCTAATAAAAATTGTAAATGTATCCAATATTCCGAGGTTTTCCTCTCTATACCTTGTCTGTACCTCAGTCCCCAAGGGCAACCTCACAGGAGGGCAAGGGTTTATATTTATTTCGGTCTCTGCCTAAAATAGCCCCCTGGTAGTAGGAGGTGCCAATACATTGCATGAGCAAAGGGACACAGTCTTAGGTAAGACATCCCTCCAGGCTCTGTGATGAGATGCTGGAGGAAGGAACCAGTCTCAGCCTCCCAAAGCCCTCCATGGTGTGTGGCGGGAGGGCAGGCGCGGGGTAGACTATCCTACTTGTACAAAGCTTAGCACAAGGCCTGGCCCTGGTGAAACGCTCTAAAGGTGGCTTTTCGTTTTGGTGATTATCACCAGGCACAGTAGTGTAAGATCTCTGAGCGAGAGGAAGCACCACAGAGGTCAGCTGAGACCTGGAGAGTTCTGAAGCCAGGCAAGCCCCAGGGACCTTTCTTCCTGAACGCGCCGACTGGCCACCGTGGGCTGTGTGTAGCTCTGTGGTCGGTTCCTGGTTGGCACCTGGTGCCCGTTCCTGGAGGGAGAGTCACTACCTGCCAAGAGAAAGGTAATTGGAATTGGCCCCGCAGAGGAGATGGGGGAGGGTGCATAGAGATGGCAGCTCATGATTCCAGAGCCTGGATTATGTCCCAGGCCCCGTGCTAGATACTTTGCCTACGTTACCCCATTTATTCCCAGCAGCTCTGGAAAAGGTGGCACTGGAGTGGTCCTCATTTCAGAGACGAGGAAGCTGAGGTTTCAAATGCGCTCAGGCTCGTGCGCTCCAAGGGTCAACACCCCTGCTCTTTACTACTCACACTACCCGTCCATGAGCAAGAGGATTAGACCCACTCACTACTCCCAAGGACAAAAATTGTACTGGAGACACAGAACACTCGGGCATGAAACACAACTGCCAAGCCAGGCAGTGAGGACTGGTAAGGAGCTCAGGCCCGGGGGTCAGAAGCCTGGATTCCAGTCCAGTTCTGGCCCTGGCCATAGAGTGAAGTTGGGAACGTTCTGCCCTTGTCTGTTTTTTTACTTCTCCATCTACATAATGGGTGTGATGATCCTGATGTGGCCAGGGGTTGAGAGTCCCTGTGAGACGTCGTGTGCCACAACGCGCTGTCGCCTATAAGGCCCTGTGCCCGTGTGAGAGGCCGTGTCGGAATTCTTGCCAGCCTTCTTCGGAAAAGGGAGAGATCAGTGCGGCCTAGAGAAGGCAGGAGAGGCTTCAAGATGGGAGGCAGGCTCTGGGGTCTGCCAAGAGTTTGCGGGGCAAAGAGGAGAAGAGGGAGGCGACACCAGAGGAGCACACGGCCAAGGAGCAAATGGATAAGAGCTCCTTGGGCTGGAGAGGCGACCGGTGCTCAGGGAGATGCTGGACTGACTGACGGGTGTACACGCGGCCAGGAAGGCAATGTGGAATCATTGGTGTACCCTGAGCATTTCGAATCCCAGAACATTCACTACAGAAAAGCCCTGAGAAATCTGATCCAGCCATCTCCCTTCTGACCCCATTTTATTGGTGATGAAACAGACCCACGGAGCACAGACAATATACCAAGTCACCTACCCGGTGAGTGACAGACTGACAAGTCCCAGGGCCAAGGAGGGAGTCACGTAACAGAAGGAGGGAAAGGGCATGGTCGTCAGATGTTGCAGAGTTCATATAGAGGCAGAAGATCCTGAAGGTGGTGGATTCCTTGCCATTGCAGAGACAGACCCTTTAACGAACAAGGGTGGTAGAGAAGGGAGGAATTATGAGCGCGGGCTCTGGGGTCACACTGCCATGGTGAATCCTGGCTCTGTTACTTAGGACCTATGTGAAATGAGGGTGAAAGCTTCCTTCCTCCCAGGTTATTGGGAGAATGCAAGGTGTCACTGAGATATAAAGCATTTCTCAGAGTGTCTGGTGCCAGACAACGGGCAATGGATGTTCACTTCTGTTATTGGCGGTGGTGATTTTCTGGCAGGGGACCTGACTGGCAAGGAAGAGGCAAGACCCCAGCACCGGCCCTCCAGGAATCGAGGGACTGGCAGCCAAAGCGGCCGAAGAGCTAGGATGGCCTCGTGTGGAACATACACACAGGCAAAAGCCGTTCTAATAGAGTCGTCCACTTCAGGTGTGTTTGTTAATCTGTTCATACTCTCTGTGAGCATGAATTCTCTCCTACTTGTAGCCACTCTGTGCTTGACATAACTTATTTTATTATGAACTACTAATTATAGGAAATTGCCTTCTTAGTTCTATATTTGTCTGTCATTTATAAAGCATCCTACCAACTGAGAATATAATTGACTTTCTTAGAACTATATTTCTATGTTGCCTAGAAAGAGCAACATCAGCCACGATTATATAATAGTTCTGTAATTGTGTTGGACAATTAAAACCAGAGATTGTAGGCTGGTGGCCATGGATTCACTTTTGCCTACAGATATGTTTTGTTCAGCTTGCCTGGTGACAAGCTCCAAATTAAATTATTTAGCAATATTTGAAGACAAGGTGATTTTACATCAAAATCCAGATTTCTGTTTTTGGAAAACCTGGCAACATGGGACCTCTATGCCCTGCTACAGTGATTAATTAGCATTGAAAAGGCGCTGCTGCCTTCAGTTAAGGCAAGGTCTCCAGTTTGCCATTGTCACCACCACTCCTTATTGTCCCCCAACACCAAGGCTAAGAATCATGTGCCGTTTATTATCACAATACATTCTGCCTATTCTTAGAAAAAAGAGGAAAGTGGGATAGACTGAGTGCTCACATCTCTGTAAAAAATGGGTGATAGATAGATAGACAGACATAAGATATATAAGAAAGCCATGTTCAAGAAAGATGTGGAAGATCCTATTTCTACATGTGTAATATACAAATAAAGCATATCTACCTTGAAAAAATGAAACTAAGATGCTCTTATAAAACAAACCTGGTCCCCCTCAATTATGTATGTTACCTGAAGGATGAAGGCATCACTTCATTTTGATTGGTGGGCTACATGTGGTCTAATTCATCAGTCTGAGATCCATTTGCATAAGGCAGCAGGCTCCTTTACTACACAGGCAGGGAGATCCTGTGTGCACATTTCACATTCTGCTCGTTCTCTGTATCTGATAATATCCAATTTGCTGAAATGTAGAGAGGAAAGTCCCCAAAGCACATTTCTCCCCTACAAATGACTGGAAATAGATGCACATTGATGTTGTTAATTTTGTTCCTTTCTCACCTGGGAAGCACGGCTGTGTTCACAGGCGGTAAGTCTCTCATTTTAGAGCTGAGCCTGGAGGTGACAACTGTGACCTCAGACCGATGGAGGCTCGGGGGGGGGGGGCCAGCCAGTAATCGGGAGGGGGTCCAAAAGGTCCCAGCGCAGGTGTGGGGAGGATGGGGGCAGGACGCCAAACCAGGCATTTGCCTCCAGACAGATTGTGTTTTTGAGGGTTTAAGCGATTTCCTTCCATTCAATGGGAAGCTGTGGAAATAGCCAAGAGGAAGCTCCGTGTCATACCCGAGCTGGTCTAAACTGTTTACCACAGCTTCGGGACAGTTTGTGAGATCAGGTCTTGTGGAGACAGGGAGCTCTGTCCTCTTCCAGGACTCAGCTAAATTCATGGGCTGTTCCACTTTCCTATAATCCATCCAAGCGTCCTAGAAAAACCCAGTCTCCAAAAGCATTCTCCAGACTGTCTCAAGCAGCAGGAAGAGGCACAAAAATCAGTGAGAAGCGTTCCAAAATTTGGTTGGGGAAGAAGTTACCGGGCACATAATGCACATCTTTCTGAACCCGTTGCTTTCTTAGGTGGCGACAATACCTGAATTTGGATTTGCAGTGAGAAATTCCCAGGAGGCCCCCGAAGCTTGGATCCTCATCTGACTTCAAGGGCAGAAAAAGCACAACAGACTTAGCTAGCTGACTAAAAAAGAATTTGCTGAAATAAAAAGAGAAGAGGGCTGCCTTTTGAGTCATCAACAGAAAACGCTGACAATTTAAACCCGCACCTGCCTTCCACGAAGGAGCCTCTTGTTCTGATCAGTACCTTGATGTGTTTGGAGACGCCAAGGGGAACGAGGGCTGAGCAGAGAGGGGGTTTGTTTTCTGCAGAGGAGAGAAAAATGAATTTGAAAATCTGACAGGGAAGGAGACGAGGAAATAGGAGGGAGGGCATGGCGGACACTCTTAGTCGCCACTGTCAGGGCTCTGTCCCTGTAACCACTGCACTTACCAGTTATATGCACTAGAGACGCGATCTTCCAACTGGAATATCTTCCAGCTAATTTCCTGGGCTGTTCCCATCACCTGAGCGCTTTCTCTGGCTGCCGGAGCCTGTTCTGCCCACAGCACAGCAGGCCGCAGTGCGGG